TAATTTCTCAAAGGTGTTCCCTTGAGAACATCTTTGTGAACTTCATTAACATATTTTTTCAGACATAATAAAAGTAACTTATTGAACAGGCTTAAATCTTTGATGAACTCACGGTGCTTCAAGGACATTATTTTTTTAACTTGATTTATTGGTACATTCTAGGTAGACAGTACAGGTACATTCATTACTGGGATCTTGTACCTTTAAAGGACATTATTTTGACATCAGTGACAATCTTATAGACAGCAAAGTGCAGGCGATTGTACCACTGCTGTATTGACCAAAGAAAATACCCTGGAGTTTGTCTTTTTGACTAAACTTCTGATACATGTTAGCTTTACTTTGATTTAGCTCTTGCTTTCAAAACTGAGACACAGCCAAAAGAAGATACCAGAATAACAAGCACTGGAAAGTGCTCAGGGAAAATTAAGTATTCATTGAATTAGATCTACTCTGTAAGTGAAACTCCATAAGGGGAATCATAGAACCATAAACTTAGAAGGAATATTTAATATCCACCAGTCACAGACCCTTCACTTTACAGCTGATGGGAATGAGGTCAAACTGTGCAAAGTGCTTTACCCAAACCACATGACCAGGCAGCAGAAGGATGAGAACACTTGTTTTTTCCTCTCTTGAATATACAACAATTGAAAGTAAATTTGTAAGTGTTTAGTTGGTACTCTATATAATAAATTCATTAATGAATGACATATTCCCCACATAAATCTATGGAGTATAGATTAAATCTCTGGAAAATGAAAAAATACATTTCAGATAACTTCTAAATTTCATGCTCATGGTAGCATGTCTCTAAAATTTCACTTGGACATAACTTTGTTTCATTATTGCCTTACAGTGCTACAATACATTCTTGCAAAATTGTATATTTGAAGTTACATTCGCTCTTCTGGGTCATGGGGATATTTCTCAATTGATTTTAATCATGACATATCAATTTGTATAGTGGGGATATTTCTCAGTGCACTTTAATCATGATATATGAAATTGTATAGCCCCTGACTTAACAATTTGTAATGGTTCTATTAGTGTCTCACAATCACTGAAGAAATCTGCCTGTGGGCCAGGGATTTAACACAGTGGTTCTGCCCCCTGCCTCGGAAGTGCAAGGACTCAAGTTCCATCCCCTGTATCAAAAGAAATCTGCCTGTTTTACAAAAATGCCATAAATTCTGTAAGAATTATTTAAAGTGAAATGAGTTCAAAAGTGATCCTCAAAGATGTTATACTTGAATAAACAGAGAATCGTGTCAACATAGGAACAGTATTTGAGAAAGGAATTTAAAAATGTACATACTTTAAAAAGGCAAAATATTTTTAACTTAAAGCCATTTCTACCATCTCCAGTTAACTCCCTTCTTTTGGATATAATTTGCTAATAAAACCAATGATACCTGTCTTCATTGTAATTTATGAGCAATTAGATGTTACAACTGAACTATTAAATGAGAATGGACCCCAAAGGGCACTCAACCAGATAATTAGCAGAGGCAAACAAATTATCACCAGAGGAATTGATATAAATATCTAGTGGACTCTATTTGTTTTTGACCCTTTGTGTTTCATGAATTCACACCCTCCAATCTTTTTATTACATTAAAATGGACTTTGAGCAGGGCATGGTGGTGCAGGCCTTTAATCCCAGCACTCAGGAGGCTGAGGCAGGAGGATTGCTGTGAGTTCGAGTCCAGCCTGGGCTACATAGTGAGTTCCAGATCAGTGTCAACTAATTAGTGAGACCCTGTCTCAAAAAACCAAAACAAAACAAACAAAATAAAATAGACTTTGATATAAGAAACATTCATATAATCAGAAAAAATGTGTGCAGGTGGAAAGAAAACTTGAACAAGAAGTCCCCACTAATTTCTGGAAAATTTCTTGTAAACCAACAAATATGGAAGTCTAAATCTGCAGTTGGAACAACCACAGCCAGGTGACTGACAACATTTGGGGTCCCACTTTGGGACACACAGGAATGCAGAATATTTTAGAGAAGCTTCCTCCTATGAAGCTGTAGAAAAGTATTCCCTCCCCACAACCAGAGGCCACTTTAGTCCCTGGGAGTCAGGAAGAAAAGAAGCAAATGCAAGGTGGAGTGTTGGGAAGCTCCTCGGAATTGCACATTGGACAAAAGAACAATGACAATTAAAGAAACGAGAAAGAAGACTACATTAGTAGGTTTAACAAACATTCCTGATCTATCTTCAGTCTCCAGTGACTGTGTAGACACCATTTCATGAGACATTCCATTGTATGTCCCCAAATTTAAAACAAACTTACAGATATCATTCATTTGGAAATTGGTAACGCAGAAAGGTTTTAATGACTAAATAAATTACAGTTAATGAGACCATAAAGTTTTCTTAAACAGTTATAACTGTAAGAAATACTGACAGAGCGGGGCCTTTCCAGACTCTGGCACGTGCATTACCCTCATATTGGTCATGTGTTATTTAGCCTTTACCTCTGATTGTGCAACTGTTCACTTGTTTTGACTTTTTTCCCTGATAAGATAGTAAAGCTTCAGGCTTATTCACAGGTGATGCTGTGTTTTATAGCCTCTTGAAAGCTTTCTTTGCATCTTACACACAAAGGTCCCAGAATGCCCTTGTGCTGGGGAAGAGGACATGAAGGGAAATGAGCAGGAAGTTGACCAACACCTGCTTCAGAGCAGAGAGAGATACAGTGGAACTGGCCTCTTGGTAGAGATACTGAAATGCTGTTTATGCACTCACAAGTTTCATTTATTGCTCTACCAAATTACTTTCCTTTATATTGTAATAGATAAAATATGATGAAGTATCAAATCTCACCGGGAAATAGAAACTGCTACTTTTTTTCTTCATTTCAGAATCAGCATTCCAAGGTGTTTCTTCAGGGAGCTATGCTATTTTTCTTACTAAAGGCAAGCAACTCACTGGAGTCTCCAACTAATGCCTTAATAGATGATTTTTTAATGAACACTGGCCAGGCTATGGTCAAAGCCTAACTCAAAACTTGACTATTAACCCATTGAAAAAGAAAAACTTGACTATTAACCCATTGTAAAAGAAAAATAAATCCCCCAAGTCTTGTATTTTATATGTGAGAAAATTTAGGCTGAACACATTTGTATAACCTACCCATCTGTATCATTTTTAAAGACCATCCATTCAGGGCCATTTTGATTACAAATCCTGGTATCTCTGTTTTCCATAGTCTCCACTCCATATCTCTGTTAGTGACAGGAAAAACAAAATAGTACCTAATTCTTTTGTAATGAAAATTAGAAAGCTAAATATCATTTTAATTGACTCATCTGTGAAACAGATATAGAGTAATCAAGAAAAAGAGAAATGAAGTGTTTTTTAATTACACTAATACTAAGATAAGAATAAGAATCAACACTATGTGAGAGAAACAGATTCCTGTATCTGTTAAGTTGAACAAGGATTATAGACCTACATGAATCAGTATTGCTATGGCTTACAGGAGGAAACTTAATAATATTGCCTTTGATTACAGACATATGCCAGAAAACTGAAAAGTAAAAAATAGCATGCTGCACACTAAGATGCCATTTCAATGAATATTAGGCAATACTTGTCAAAAATTCCACTAAATCCCTCATAATGTCTTAGGTATGGGAGTGCAAAAGCAGGGAATATAAAATATATCAGTACATGCTGCATAGAAATCTACCAAATGCACTTATTTGTCATGAAAAGGACTGAAAGATTGATGCATTTCATCACAGCAAGGAAGGCATGTTTTATTTTGTAAATAAGTTATTTGATTTGACTTTGTTCCCACTGTTTGCTTTTAATTAGGTGAGAAAAAACATTTCCAAATTTTAAAACCTATGAAATATTTCCAAATCTGAAAGAGTTAAGTTCAAAATGACCGTGTAGTATTTCTTGTGCCTTCCTCTTCCATTCGTGTTTCAAGACCAGCTTAGTCACTCTTCTACTGCAAGTCAGAAGGGAGAGCTGGATTTCTCACCACTTTGTTATTACCTGCAAAGGCTCGAGGATTCCGTGTAGTTCTCACTGGCTTCACAGATATTTTTCTGTCTTGCTCTCCATGTCCTCTCTTCAGCACACAGAATACTAGGCAAGCCTTGCTGAAAACAGCCCTCTTTTTGGGAAGAGCCTGTATGCAGGAAGTAAAAATCCAGTGCCCACCTTGGAAAGTGCCGGCCAGGATCGATGTGGTGGCTGCTGGCCAAGGGTAACTGCCTGACAGAGCTCTGGTGTGTCACCAACTTCTACTGCACTCAAGCAAATGGCAATATTTACAGTTCGTGAAGCATTTAGAGAAATAAAAAGTACAAAACTTCTAAGTATCGTTCTTCTTTTGTTTAATTGAGTTTATTGGTATATTTTCGATATACAGTACAGTTACATTCATCATTGGGATCTTGTACCTTTACACGACAGGTCTTGGTTCTCATTTTCTCCCCTGTCCCTGCCCTCCCTTCACCCCCTCCTCCCCTCCCCACTTACAAACACTTTATTTCCACCTTTTCATTTTCTCACATATTTTTCTTTTCCCTTATTGCCTTTCCCCTACCCTTCCCACTTTCCCTACACCTTTAGCCCTTTTCTTCCTACTTCATATTGTCAATTATCTCATTAGGATCTTATGTGCTATTATAGTTTATTCACACCAGATAAACGATTCAGTATTTACACATGTGTGACTTATTTATTTCACTTAGGAGTATATCTTCAATATGTATCCATTTCCCTATGAATGAATCTAATTTCTCATTCTTTATGGCTGAATAATATTCCATTTTATAGAAAAACTACATCTTCTTTATCCAGTTTCCAACTGATGGACAAATGTTAAGCATCTCTCTTCTAAATGAGGGGAGGAGAAACATGGTCTTTCAAACTGCTCTTCTAGGAATCATCACACATTCTGTATGCCCAATATCCATGAATTCTGCTGCGGCTAAGGTTTTACATTCTTCCTGTGCATTTTTTCCTCCCCAGAACACTTGAAAGATAAGCTAGAAGAGTACATGGCTCGATTTTCCAAAGTGAGAATTCTTCGCACCAAGAAAAGGGAAGGACTCATCCGGACCCGACTGCTGGGCGCATCTATGGCCAGAGGAGAGGTGTTAACGTTCCTGGACTCCCACTGCGAGGTCAACGTGAACTGGCTGCCCCCACTCCTCAGTGAGTACACGATGTCACCATGACACACCAGGCGCCAGGGCTGCGGAGGGAGGCGGCTTCCTCTAGAAGGAGTGCAGGTTTGCCTCTGTTTAAACTGCGTACAACAAACGCTAGAGACGCCTATATTTTTGACAGTAAAATACGTGAATTCTTGCACATCTTAGCCATTGCTGAGAACAAATAGTTAACTACAAAGCAGCATCAAAATTGGCATTTTAGATACTAACAGTTGCATTCTAATTTAAGGTTTGAAAGGTTTATTTTATCTTAGATATCTTCCTTTACCATAATTATATTCATTGACTAACTACTGTGAGAAAAATATATGCCCAAACTTTTTTATAATCATATTTTAGTCTCAATAAAATTAAAGTACTCACATATTCATATCTTAAAAATTATTGCAAGATTTTTTTAAAAGGAGGAAAGAAAATTATTCAGCCCAAAATCTAAAGAATAGGCAGTTTGTTCTTTGATTTTTTTTTCTTTTTTTTTTTTTGAGATGGGGCTTTGCAGAATAGTCCAGGCTGGTCTTGAACTCACTCTATAGTCCAGGATGGCCTCAAATTTGTGTCAATCTCCTGCCTCAACTTCCTGAGTGCTGAGATTATAGTGTGCATCTCCACACTCAGCTCACTCTATTTATAATACCATTTCTTTTTGCTGTTCTTTCTACTTCTGGTATTATCCTATACCCCAAACTATTGATCCCCTATATTCACTAGAATCCTGCAAACACTTCGAGCTGCTCTCCGGGTAGTAAGTCTTAAATGCTTACTCTATGGCTAAGAGCGGAGACAGGAGGAAACCATGCAACACCACACCTGAACTGTTAGAAATGTAAACAAATTGAAAGTAAGTGTGTAATGTGTGACTCAATGTATGCTTCAATATTTTTGTGCTTATTTTACAATGAAGTCCAAGATAATGTCCACTTGTAGCCAAAAATAAACTGCAATTGTTTTAAAAAGTCAGTCTAAGGAATTCTTGGTATACCTATATTATACTCCTTCTATTCTTCCAGATTTTGTCACATCATTTTTTACTATAAATTTACCGCTGGCCTCAGAACTAAAGCCAGTGATAATTGCCTTCATAACAGCTGTCTCAGAAAAAATGATTTTCTACTGGCTGCTAACTAAGATTTCAGCTAGAAGCAGCCAAGCTTCATTGATAGAAGTCTGGGAGGGTGTGACTGAAACTGTGTAGGATTTAATACCTGCTGGGTGTTCTAGCACCTGCTGCATATCACCAAATCCACATAAGCTTGGACACACAACTGCCCCGCCACCCTGATGACAGGAGTGTCTCAGTGGCCCTACAGGTGGAGATCCTCTGCATCTGTAATTAAAAGTACCTTGGCCAAGAACAGCAATTTAGAGCTTCACCAGCAACAGCAAGGTTCCCTCAGACTGAACCTGACCTGTATGGTGCTGAATACTCAAGAAGGCAGCCAAAGGCCTCATTTATTTATGAGCCAAAGCAACATCTAAGCGCCAATTATGGAGACTCTGATTGTTCTCTATGAATCTAATAAAAAGAAAAAGAAGACAAAAACAGAGAACAAGAGAAAGCCATAACCCCTTTTTCTCATGAAGCATTTCATTTCCTGCAGGCCTGATGGATAAGGAATGATTCAGGCTCAGGATCACTATCTTTCTTTATTTTCCTCTCTCAGTGTCTTGATATATCATCCAAAAAAAAAAAAAAAAAAAAAACAGGCTGAGCCACACAGATTCTTGGTTCATTTTTCACCTTGGGATTATACCTGAATTTCAATTTCCTATTAAGAATCTGTTTGTTTGATCCCTGGAAATTGAAATGTAGGCACAAGCCTTGGATTAAAAATTAGTCATGCATCTTTCACCCTAAACTAGTACAGCTGGTTGAGAGCTGAAAGGAAATTTGAAGGGAAAGTTGACAGTTAATTTAACAGACTCATTCTCCTAGGGTCACCTTGGGACTCCTTGTTGGTCAAGGAACTTGTAAATCAACCTGATTCTGAAGTTGATTGAAAAAAGTCAGTAAAACCTTAATAGTGAGATATCTGAAGAGATGATAGAAGAAATATTTTGATGTCTCCTCAGTCAAACACATCTCTGGGGAAATACCATTTACATAAAGATTAAACCCCATTATAAGGCTTTCCCAGGGAAAAAAATGGATATTTAGAGAGCCATTTGGTGGAGATTAACTTGAAATAGTGCCAAGGGTCACTCCATCTATTGATTAGCTAAAATATGACAAAAACAAACTCTAGGGTCTCTGAGGTTTCGTGGGGCCGTCCTATCTACTGAAAACTGCAATCTTTTCCAAATCCCAGCGTTCTATCTTCTCCTTACCCTCTTTATTTTTCCTCCCATCTCATTCATCATCTTATAAGACAGTATTGAATTTATTTGTTACATTTATTCATTGTTTTTGCTCCATTCCTGAAGACAGTGGCTTTTGCGGTGTTGGTCACTACTATATCCCCACAGCCTAGAAAAGTGACTGGCATCTAGATTTTACTCCATAAATGATTACTGAAATATGAAAAAAAATGAATGAATGCAAAAGGACATAGATTTGAAAGGAAGTCTTCTACAGGATTTTGCAGCTTGTTTTACTATCATTACCAAAATAAAGCCACTTTTATTATAGCCATTAAAGCCCTTTTCTCCTGTCCTATATTTAGCAGAAACTTGTGAAGCAAATGGACAGCTCTCTTCCTATGAATACTATCCCTGACACAGATTTCATTTACTTTGGGATCTCTGGGAAAACTGTGATCCAGAAATAACCAAACTCCACAATATTTCTAAATGGTATCCTTTTTTATTGTCACATGCCATATCCAAAGATCTTTTCAAATAAGAGCAGTATTCACCCTTAAATGTTCTGCCTGCCAGGCGGTATCGTTTTGTTATAGTAAATATTGATTAAGTGCACAATTTGGAAAGAAAGATACTTCAAGCATTGCTATTTGAGATCAAACTATGTGAGTGCCAGCTCCTTGTGCTGGATGTTATTGTTGTTACAATAATATCTTCATGGAAAAAGAAGGTGCTAGGATTTAAGGGGCAAAATCATCTCTTAGCTACAATGAGAAGTGCTATAGCAACCTAGATGCCAAGTTTTAGAGCTGGGCAGAGATCCTATCCTGTTTATTCCTCTCAGAACTTGAGCATCACTTAACAAGTTATTTAAACTATCTGAGCTCAGTTTCCTCATTCAACAACTTGGGAATGCCTATTGCTGAATATTCACCTACTTCAGACTTGCCAGAAGTAATAGAAATAGCATGAATATAAATGACATAGTACTTGCTCAAGAGTCTTAGCAGTACTACCACGCCACTTAATACTTTTTGCATGTGATGAGAATAGACAAAAGTTGTATGACTTTGATGAACAGTGGTAAAATAGGACTGGACAAAATCTCTGGCAAGCCTGAGAGCAAAGAATTTTATGTATGATCTGTCAGCATGTGAGAGGAGCAGCCATCACGACTGTCATAAGATTAGATGCAACGAAAAACATAAGGTTAAATATTTACATTTTGGAACCTCCAGAAAGCAGGCCAGTATTTTCTCAGCAGGCTCTGGCTCTATACTTGAAGGAAGACAAGTATTGTTTATACACTGCCCATGTTGGATACATGATAAAATGACAGATTGGGGACAGGTCAGAGCAAAAATGTGACAGAGGTAGAGTGAAATGGACTTCTGCAAGTTTCTCTGGGACATAACTTCCTTAAAGGAAAACAAAACTCTAATTGTACCTAATCACTGTCCCATCATGTTCAGCCCAGCACTCAGAGAATCCGGCAAAGTGCTCTAATGACGACAGGGAGCCAAGGCTGCAAATATTACGCATTAGCAACAGTCCGGCTTCTCTTTGCTGGAAAATGATAGATGACCTAGGCAGGCATGTCATTTCCTATTTTGTGCTTTCATTTTTCAGACCAAATTGCACTAAACCACAAAACCATCGTGTGTCCCATGATCGATGTCATTGACCACAATCACTTTGGGTATGAGGCACAAGCTGGGGATGCCATGCGAGGAGCCTTCGACTGGGAAATGTACTACAAAAGAATACCCATCCCTCCAGAGCTCCAGAGGGCCGATCCCAGCGACCCTTTTGAGTGAGTAGCAGCTGAGCAAGGGGCCAAGGGAAAGAGGGCAGGTAACTCATTGCAGACACGTCAAGCCTGGGACCCACGAGGACCACTGTGTCTGCTAAGATGGAATAAAGCAGGTGGTAACAATATGCACAACACCAGAGAAAGGTCAGACCTACAAGCGTAGAAAATTGCAAGTTGTGCTGAATGCACGGCTCCTTCCTTCTCAAACTTTGCTAAGCAAATGAGAAACTGTGTAGATACAAAGAATCAGGAAAATGTAGCATTAACAGAAAATACAAGGAGAAGGACTGTGTGTTCCCCTCTTAGGATCTGTCTTCTTGTATTTAGTTCTTTTTTTTTTTAATTTTTTCCTAAATGACTATTTAAAAAGGACTGATACAAAATATGAATCAAAACATAAACCTTACATTCTACATCCTTTTGGAAATTATCTATGTATAATAGAAGGCAGTGCTCCTGAGTAGATATTTCCATAATTTAAATCTGGGAAATTCAACGGATGTTATGTCCTAAGCAAATAATCTATGATAATCTTACCCTAATTTTAGTACTAGAGAAGAATTTAAAATAATAATACATTGATTAATTGTTACAAAACGAATTCTTTATGTTTCATTGTGGCGGAGAGAATTACACATTTCAAGAAAGAGCAAAGAAGAGAAAACAAGACTTACTATAGATACCATTAATAGTCAGTGATGAAATTCTTCCAGCAGTGAGATCAGAGGTTGCCCAAGGCGCATTAGAGCTATTCCTTATACTATGCCTTTTGAGCTCATTAAAATCTTTATAATTTTAAAACTATTATTTTCATTAGTACAAGAAAGATATCTGATTGAGGCTTTGTCCACCCTGTTAAAGTCTATTTAAAATACACTCAAATCAATATTGTGTTTTCATCAATAATGAACATAGGTCTCAAAATTTTGCAGTACAGAGGTTTTTGTGACACTAACACTTTAAATTTTAACAACCATTTAATAATCATCAGGACCATGAATCCTCCAATTTCACTTTCTAGGAAGATGAACTCCTGGGGAAGCAAAGAGGATTTCAGAGTTGTTTGCTAATAAAATGGGAGAGAAGTCATTTATTTTGTAAAATAAAGCAATTTCACTCAATCGCCAGAGCTTGTGGAGCTGGCACTCTTCTGGCTTAATACTCAAAAGTTTTTTAAAAGAAGAAGTGTTAGACCTTTATTAGTCCCCAGTATGCATTGGTCAAAATGTCATGAATATTCAAAATAATTAGAAAAGTCTTTTAGTTTTATAAATAAGAAAGTTTCTACTGAGCATTTGAAGGGAGCTCAGGTGGGTGATGTTCCTCAGACTTCTGTGAAGGTAACCATTTGAAAGTCTTAGCAAAAGGACTGAAAGCAGAATAAATAGTAAGTGAGCGAGACGGTCCTCATGCTAACTGGCTTGATTTAGCAGTACTGTAATGTGTACACATTTCAAAACGTGTTGTACACCTTAAATATGTACAACTTTACATCTAAAATTTTAAAAATGCATAAGAAGAAAAATAAAAGTTAAAAATTTGTTTCATTTGTTTAAAAAAGTATAGGGTAGGAAACAGAAATGTCAAAGAGCCCTAAAAACAGCAAAACTGCTGTTACCCGGTAGCTCACAGTAGAACGGCCACCGTGTGGTTCCTGCTACCTACAGTTAGTATGTTTAAGCACTAGAATCCATCCATTATGACTTTCTAAACATGGTAATATTGACTGATTATAATGACCTTTTACTTTGCTTCCACTGTGATAGCAGAATGGGGCCCCCTTTCTGAAACGGTGAGATCAAAATGCTCCCAAAGGACTCTCCAATGGTGAAAATTAGAAAACTATTCTCAGTGCCTTCCCTGATGGTCAGACTTTCTGTCAGGCAGACCCTGGCTGTGGCTATCGCAATATCAAGCACTTTGCTTAACTCCAAAGCTGACAGAATCGGTAACTTTCAGAATTAGATTACTACTTGTTCCTGTCACTTCCTTAGGTGGTTGCTGTCCTGTCAAAAATCACATTGGTCTGTTGAATATTACGGTCTTTCTGCTTTAAGTCCCTTTGATGCCTACAAGTGTGGACACTTCAGCCTTTTGTAATAAACGTAACTTTCAGGAGGTGTCCACTTTGATCTTAAAAACTGTGTTTCCATTCTGACAATAGAAGAATAGTTACCCAAGTGCTCTGAGCACGTATCTGCAGTTCCATTCTCCTGGCAGTCCCCCGAATGTGCTCATGAACAGACATGCTTTAGGCTAAAGCTTGCTACTCTAGATGTAAGTTGGTAAGATACACAAAACAAAAGCAATCTATCTCTCTATCTCCCTCATGGGCTTTCATGTTTCCAGAGGCTATAGGGATGTGCGTGGTTTGCTATGGAAAGATGGGGAGGACTAAAAAGACAGGATGAAAGGAACTAAAGAAAAATGTGTAATGTGTTGATACCCAGGAGCTTTTATACAATGTATTTCCCCCCCAAAAAAATTTCTGTAGCAAGTGTATCAGATGTCCTAAAGTAAGAAGACCTGAATTTTCTCATTTATTCTGCTATTTTTTTCTTTTGCATTTTCAATAACAATTAACTGGAGCATAGTTTGTCCCAAAAATCCTGTGAAGTGGGTGAAACATGATCAATATTTAATTATTAATGTATTAGATTGAGTTGAATTAAAATTTTCAGACTATAAACATGTAATTTCTCAAATATTTGACTTTGGTTTTAATGTATGAAAGATCCTGGGATATGGTATAAACTATTTCTTAATATAGGTTATAGAATGGAAAGAATCTAAAATCCACCAACTTCCTAAACTGGAGACCAAGAGCTTCAATAATCTGACCAGGAAGGAAAAGGAAAACTCCTGGATAACTTGGACCCCTGAGAAAATTCTTACACTTTCAAAGGAATCAGAGGTTTAGAAAAACTGAACCTAGAATATGAGAGAAATATAATGTTCATGGTCCCAATTATATAGCACTCAAAATTCTGATTGAATTGATTGAATGTATTTCAGAAACATTTTTGTTTTTTAATTTAAAATTAAATGTATAGGAGTATTTTTGTATTAAAAGCATTTTAAAGGCCAAAAAAACACAGTATTCCCCGTTTTTAAGACTTATATAATGTAATGAAATACTTTTAAGATATTCTTATTATTCATGGCTTCAGGTTTCCTCATTCCTGTTTCATTTTCAATTTAGAGCACCTAGGAATGTAACCTTTTTCTGTGTGACAAAAAAATACACTCTTTCGCCATAATGACAAAGACAAAGATATTCATTTGCTGTCTGACCATCAACTTATTTCTTCAAACTTAACCTCTAAACATTTAGAAAGAACCAGAAGAAATGATGGTTTCTTTCAATGCAAGTAACCATTAGGTAATGTTCCAGCCAGTACGCAGCTTCTGCTTAAATGGAAAAGTAATTTTGCTGCCCAAAAGATAGCCCATTCTATTGACATAAATCTTTTTTTCACATTAAGAAAATCTTGTCTTCCTGATCTCAAATTATCCGACTTGAGATGTAAGGAACGACAAACCCCTCTTTAATAACAGAGCTGTTTAAAGTGTTTTTTAAAAGACGCCATATCTGTGCTTCTGAAAGGAAAGGAGAAAAGGATTTGTTTTTCCTTTTCCAAAGTAGCTATTTCTTCCTCTATCTCCATATTTTTCCAGGCCCTCCAGAATCTTGTAAACATTCATGCTTGTACTACAGCTGTTCAATACACATAAATTCATTTTACTGCAATCTCACATTTCTCTAACTTGCTCTCCAGAAAAATACTCCATCTAGTCTACCAGAAACTCAGGTCCTAATACACAACTCTGTCAACCACAAAAATGAGGTTAATATACAGGGATTTACATTAGTTCTCAGAGATAATGCTTCCTTTTCCTAAGCATTTACAATCAAGCAAGCAGTTCATTTCAATTTTACCAGTTTACTGTATTTTTCAAAACATTGAATTGTAGAGAGATTACTTTTATGCAGCCATTCTTTTCCAGATCTCCATGTTTCCACAGACTTCCAAAACTTGGAGTTTTAATTATCCCAGATGGAATTCTAACACATAACCCCTAGTGAGGACCAATAACATTTTCTACCTAGATACACTACCAATTTCCAAACATTTAACAATAAGTATATCTCCGCTGAGGAGAGAAAATTCGGTGACTACAAACATCCATTTATTCTCTCAGCATTCTCTGTGTCCATGGGAACATCAGTGTGAAGTCGGTGACCTCTCATCTGGAGTCACTGTCTGGTACAGAAATGACCCACATCATGGAGAACAATGGCTGTGATCCATTGTCAAGCACCTCAAAGTTGTCACTTCAAATACTCAAGCTCCCGTGAGAGCCTGAGGCCCAATGTGGAATCCTCGTGCAGTCCCATGTGTGAAACATAGTTCGTGCTAAAATGGATTCATCACTACCTTTCTAATACAGAGTTTTATAACTATTGTATGGAAGCAGCGTTCCTTCCAAAAATTTATTTCCAGTATCTTCCTTGGTTTTTTGAAGGGATGGAGTACACAACTCATTTACTCTCTTTCGTCTATACCCATGTGAGAAGCTGGGTATGGTGGCACACACCTGCAATCGCAGTACTCTGAGAGGCTCAAGTAAGAGAACCCCAAATTCAAACCCTGCCAGGGCACCTTAGGGTCTTGGTGAGATCCTGTCTGAAAAATAAAAGATTAAAAAAGGACTGGGGCTGCAGCTCAGTGCAAAAGCCTTGTGTTCAATCTACGGTGTTGCAAAAAAGAGTGTGAGAAAATGTTAACACCAGTGCTTTGGGGAAGTCGGTGCTTATTAGGTAAAAAAATGAAGCATTTTGAAAAATGTAGGCTTAGAGTAGAATCAGAAAAAAATGTGCAAATAATCATAAATTTTTCAAGCTAGAAAAAAACCTTAGAAACAATTCAGCCCCCACCCCTACGCCCCACCTCCCTCAATGCACACTGAGCTACATCCCCAGCTCTTTTATTTATTTT